CTGCAGCCCAGGCTGCCCTTGAGCTTCACATTCCCCACCAGCCCCTCCTTGTTGGTGAGAACAAGGTCCAGCATAGCACCTCTCCTCATTGGCTCCTCTACCACTTGGAGAAGGAAGTTATCGTCGACACATTCCAGGAACCTCCCAGATTGCTTATGCCCTGCCGTGTTGTCCCTCTAACAGATGTCGAGGTGGTTGAAGTCCCCCATGAGGAGCAGGGCTTGTGAGCGTGAGGCTGCTCCTCTCTGTCTATAGAGGGCCTCATCCACTCAGTATTCCTGGTCAGGTCATGATAGCTGGATGAAAATCTACTCGCAAAATCAGATGTCTTTAGCTAGAAAAGAGGTAACTCCAGGACAAAGTTAAGGTCAGTGGAGATCTTAGAAAAGAAAATTCTGAATAAAATTTTGAACAGGACTTCTGGATTTGGCACAAAGGACCCTAATAAAAGTTACCCTAATAAAAGCAAGCAGTTTTATATTTTCTGTGCTCAAGTGCACACTGGTGTTGCTAGAAGGAAATATTGGCAATTCAGACTTCTGTGCAAAATTCTTTCTATTAATTACACAGATTACCCCTCACAGACCCTAAAATGCTATCGAGTCTTTTGTTAGTCAGAGTAAGGCTTTTGTAATGCCAAAGGATTCTGGGTATATGTAACCCTTTGCGTTATTGTTCAGCTACCAAGTGTACTGTGGAGTTATGCATAGAAAACTTTTGGGATATTTTCCTTTCCTAGAATGCAGTCTGCAGCTGCCACTCCAGTGGAGTTCAGTCTCTTTTCCTTAATACCCCCTTCATGCACAGCTTTGTTCAACTTGACATCCTTACCACACTTATCCTCTTGCCAGGCAAGTCCCTGAAGTACCTAAATTGCTATAGGTACTAAATCCTTGATAGCTCAGTAAATAACAGACAAACCACATTCAATTTGTATAAAAATTAGTTCTCTGTGTTAAAAATGGTAATACTTTTTTTTTTTGGTACAAAAGCTACAGATATAATTTAAAAACAAACAAAGCAATATGTATCATTATGAGAAGCTTTTCCTTTTCCTTTTAATTGTAATTGCTAGGGAGCATGCAGTTTTAGCAAGTGGAAATTTATCTACAGCCCAAGCAAATGTTACTTTGGTGATAGCTTTTATAACACTGCATTAAGCATCAGAATGTTCATCATACTTAACACCTGAGTCTGCCACAGTGAAAGTATGAGCAATGCAACCAGTGGTGAGAGGTTGACAATGGTTTTGTTATTAACAAACCCCATTCAAATAATGTTCAATCTGTCATGCTTTCAAACAAATAAACAAAACCCAAACAAAGCTGAACATTTTTTTATCTGATGAAGTATCAGTGTGCGCAGAACAAAATGGATGTATAATTCTATAACTTCATGCACACAAAGGATATTACTTTTCTTAAATGTACTGCATTAAAAAGTATTTTGTTCAGGATCAACTCATGCAATTTAAAAAATATTTCATTTAGAAATGCAAAATAAGGGATATAGATGGAATTCTATTGAATTTCAAGTTTTCTTCAAGTTCCTTTTTTCTGCATTCTTAAATCTGTGTCTTTATGACATTGTGTATCACTCCTTTGAAACTGGATAGGTTAAAGGAGATTACATGATGGGAAAACCAGAAGAGTTTTATTTTATCTTCATTTCCTTTAGTACCTCGTCATGCTTTAGGTTTTAATGAGGTAAAGAAATAAATTTTCATCCTTGTGATTAATTTCGCATGCTTATGTGGTAACAGAAATAATAATGAGATACAATTGACAACAGTCCACAAATGAGTAGTTATGGGAATTACAGAGTTTTTGTAATTTTACAAAACAGTTTTCTGTTTTGTAAAACAGAAAAAAATTGCTGTATTACCACAATCGCTACTTTTGAGTTTTGCATCTCTCAACTGATTCATCTTCATTTCAGGACAATGCAAAAATCAAGATATGCCTTTTGGTGAATGGAGATCTACATATATTTTAACTACTACTTTCAAAGAGGGAGAAGGAGATACCATATGTTTCCAACAGCATTCAGAAAAATTCAGTGAGGATTGTCCTAACAGGGTTATGTTTTGGTATCTCTATTCTGAAAAGGAGTGTTCCCCGCCCATCCTGCCTGTAACGTGTTAATAGATATTTTCAGCCCTGTTCCAGTTGATCCAAGCCTACCCTTCCATTCTCTCTTTAGAGTGAAAACCTGAAATGTCTTGACGTTTAAATGAGTTAGGAATGCAAGTAAATGAAGCATGGCCTGACCATCTCTTGTGTGAGCAATCTTGTAAAGACAAAGCTAGTCCAGTCTGAAAATATCAGGGTCTGACGCTTCATTTTGGTATTTCTTTAGAGTTGCATAGCATTTCACTATTCCAACACTGGTTTAACAGTGACAAGGTAGGATCTAATTTCATAATATTTTGCAAAATATGCAATGACTTCTTTTCAGCCTGATTTTATTTTCTGATCAGCTGAAGTTTGCTGTTTGTAAAAAAGTATGTTTTAGGGAAAAAAAATTTGCTTGTGTGCCTCTGAAAAGAAAGATACCAGATTTTTACTTAATAAACAACTTATTTTTAATCCACTTAGTCATTTGGGCATTGAGCATTGACTCCATTATGAGTGATTAACACTATTTTCACTTAGTAAAGTAGCAGTGACTCTTTAGCAACACAGTGAGAAGGAAGTAATAAAATCATACTAAAATAGCTCGTTAAATCTATTAGCTTTCAGCAAAATTTTAGTCACGTCAGGACAATAAAAGGAATCAATAATTTTAGTGAGTTTCACATGAATATTTGTCTGAAAATAGTCCCAGTGTGTCATCTACCAGGTTCTCACTTTGAATGAGCCGTACTTCTATCAGCTTGAGGGCTTTCTCTGGTAGAAATGAAATTAATGAAGAATTCTTGTTGAAAGATCTACAAAATCCTGTTTTCATAAAAGAAATGAAATTTCATTAAATTAACTTTACTTTGATAGGAGAAATTACTTTGGAAATTTCCTAGGCTGAGGATTTTTCCTGGTGATTAAAAATTCCCTTCAGCACAGAAGATGCTGAAATGCACTGAAGGAACCATATAACACATTTTAGATTTCAAATTTTTGGAAATGACTTGAAGTTAAATTGTAATCATAGGATGTTTTCTTGAATCAAAGAATGTTTTAACCTTGAAGTTAAAAAAAAAAGAACGATAGTGTTCCTTCCTATATATTTAGTGCTGGATTTTGAGTATTAGACTTCCTCAGATGAAGATAAATATGCTAAGAACCTTCACATTAAGATATACCTTACTAATGTTTTTCAATTAAAAAGCTTATTGAAGTAAAACAAAATTTAAAAAAAAAAAACAAAACGAAAAAACCCACCACAAAGTGAATATAGTATGACTTCCATAAAGGCAAGCAGAAGAATTGATTGCAGCTGACAAGATTTTTAATGCAAAGTTAACTTTGCTACATTGTACTCAAATTAGATACATTAACTTTTAAAATTTCCTGACCTTTGTGAGCTTCATTTTTCTCTGTTAACATAGCATGGACATTTGATTTACATTTCATTAGTGGGAAGATTGAGTTAAATGACTGTAGATTCTATTTCCAAAGTTATTCACATTAAGAGATTTCTTTGTACTAAGAAAAGTTCAAACCATTTTACATGGGACAGGTTTGAATTACTTTATCATACTGTTTGATCATATTAAAGTATTTTTGAATCAAGGGGAAATATTTGAAATTGGTCTGCATATTTTTTCCATGTGATTCTTATTGACTTAAATAACAGTTGCACAGCTAGAACCTACCTCATGCAGGAGAGTTGGAAAATAAAGTATACTCCTTGCTATTCAGATATTAAAATATATGCTAGGAAAGTAAAAACATTGGGAGGTGAGGGCATTCCAACAGCCATGTTATCTGTGAGAAAGACATCAATGCTTATAGCAGCATCCTTTCTATATTAAAATCAGCAGAAGAATGTAAGGAGAATTGATTTAAACTACTTTCTGTTCCCTCACAAAGATCATCAGATGCCTCACTAATAATAGGATGTATAAGTTTACATTTAATATCTTCTTGATTAAAACTACTTGAAGTAATTCTAGTTACCTGCAGTTTGCACCTCCTTTAGCTAACATTTCTTTCCTACATTAGTGAAACCAGTTATCTTTCAGTTTGGTCAGAATTTGGTAAATGGGAGACATGTAAAAGCATGCAAATTTCTATCAGTTCATAGCACACAGATGACAAACGCATGATCACTTACTGCCTTGATGCTTTCAAAGTGTCCACCTTCTTTTTCAAAGTCAATTGGCTGCCCATTGAGTGTCCAATAGAAAATAACATCTAGTGTGCTGTCATGAAGGGCTTTGCAACTGAGGACAATGCTTTCTCCAACCGTTAACTCTATCTTCTTGGGAGTCAGCTCTATTCTTGTAGGTTCTTGAAATATAGAAGGATTAGGAACATTTAGATGGAAGTCTAGTTATAGTGCAAGGCCAAAAAGATATGATTGAGTTCTGCTTAGTCTACTCAGAGCTTACATTTACTCTATTATGTTTCAAATACATAGTGTCAAATACTGAAATATATTCATAATGCACACTAAGACATGACAGTGGTGAACAGAAGGTACAGCCGGTTTCATGGAAGCAATAAGGCAGGATCCTAAACAACAGCCTATAGGACTTCTGAGATGGATTAATTAATTAATTTTATTAGTCTCAGAAAAAGCTATTATTTTTTTTTAAGGCCGCAGCACCTGGAATCTTGTGATTGCATGAAAATCTCAGTTTTGTCACTTAAAATAAAAAAGGATATTTTCAGGCATACTAAATATAGGAAGAAACTTGAAAAATGAAGTCAAAAGACTTGAATATCTAAAAACAAAAACCATGATCGTATAAGAATTCAGCTGAAAAGCAACAAAAATGTGGTTTAGAAATTAATTGCAACTTAGTGATTTGATTATTATTACTGTTCTAAGGAACTATCTTTCCTTAGATTTTATATTGATACAATTATTACTTTAATCCTAAGCTTTGTTCCCATGCAGAAAGAGGTAGGGGTGAGTTCCCAAACCTAAAATATGTTAAAAGATATATTGATTCTTTTACTTATAGAATTATTTATAATCTGAGTGATTTAATTTATATACTAATTCTTCTGACGTACATCTATGATATAACAGCTGGAGTATGCAATCTAATACAGGAATACAATGTTTGACCAGATGAAGGTTAGCCCCTCTAGATTGTTGGAAACGATTTTTTATTCTGCCCATACAATATTGTTGTATGGTTAGCTGGGGATTCTAAGCAAGAATGAAATATTAGTAAAGAAAAATAATCATTATAACCTAAGTATTTTTTCATACCTTTAACAGATACTGATGCAATGATTTCTGCAGATCCAAATACATTTACACCTTGGCATAAGTACCGTCCTTCATCAGACTTGGAAGAATTCAGGATTCGCAGGCTCCCATTTGGAAGAACAGTTATCCTGGAAAGGATAAATACATAAATATATAAATATATCTCCCTTCCTAGCAGCCAAATTCCATGATGATATCTTTTAGAGCTAATAAATAGGATTAAGGACTGCTGTCTCTGTAGCAAGGAGTGATGAAGATTATAATTAAATTATCTTCTGTTTCAAAAAGGTTGTAATAAACCTATTTTACTCCTTCTCCTTCCTTGATTCAAAAAGTTTCAGGGAGGCATCAGTGGATTAGTATCCTTTGACACTTATCAGTGGTGAATTTTAATGAACCTTTTGTAGAAAGTAAAAAAAGGTGATTCTTCATAATTTGTCTTTAAAGTTTCACTGCTATATTATTGGCAAATCACATTTCAATATCAAGCACAGACTATTCCATTTAGAAAAAAATGACCTTAAAAATCAAATCTGAGAAGAATGGGAAGTAAAAGGTAAAAGAGGACTAGAAAAAACATAAAATTAATTGTATCTGGTCAAAGTATGATTTATGGCATTACTACACAGTGTAGCATAGGGACTTAAATAATCTGCTATTGTAGCTCAGCTTTTATTTTTTTCCTTGAGTCTTACACGATTGCAGCTCCACTACATCTCTAGGTAAGTAACCCCACTGAAGCATACTCATGAGAAATGTTGTTCAACCATTTACATTTAGGAGTTTCAGATTTTGGCTTTGCTTACACAGTATTAATCATTAAGTCTATGAAGCTACATAGAAGTGAAAATTAACACATTTTTGCTGTTCTAAAATGACAACCCCCCTGAATTTATTATATGTAAAGCTGCAGCCCTGGAAGAGCACTAAATAACCATTGCTCCTTTACTGACAGAGAAGAACCACAAGCCTAAATGGAACATGGCAACTCTTAATGGCATTTAAGCCAAGCTCTGCTTGCAGATGTTGTATATCCTTTCCCAGGTTGGGCAGTGGTTATGGGTCTCTCAAAGGACATGGGAGAGGTTGGTCAGAAGCCCTCCAGCAGGCATGGACACTGAAAGCAGAGAATCCTCAGCAAGTGTTTTCGGGTATCGCATAGAAGTGGAGGAGGATATGAAGGAGTGCTTCCTTCTCCTGTATTTTGAAAGTAAGGTAAGACCTCTCTTTGTGTTAGAGAAAGAGTCTAACTAAGTAGGTGGGTGGCTCTTCTCCAGCAATGGTTGGATTTTTAGATATACCTCTCCAGAGAGGGCTTTCTGTCTGTTAATGTAGTGACTAGCACTCCTTCTGCCGGGAGTCCCCTGTTGAGGCTATGATCAGAAATCATGGAGGGTACAATGTTGTGGTATACTCTTGAGAAGTATTTAACCAGGAGTAAGACGCTTTGATCATCCTGATTAACAGGTCTGTGTTGGGCTCTTCAGCAGCCAAAAAAGGGAAGGAATTCCCTTTCTAGGCTGGACGTGTTAAAATGCAAAGCTGAGTTACCTTTGATTCAAGCTAGGAGTGATTTACCAAAGGCTTAAGATTCAATAATGTGCTCAAACTAAATCACTAATATGAGACTGCATTTTTTTTTTTCTGGAAAAAGGATAATATCCCCTATTCTCTGACTCTGTGAAAAATGGTGTTTTATTATCTGAGGTTTATAAACATTGTGGTGGAGAAAACAGAATTTCATTCCAGTGAAAAATGTACTTCTATTCACTTCAGATGTGAAACCACTCACTGCTCTCAGCAGAGAGACAGAAGAAAATAATAGCTTCAAAAGTGAATGGGGCAGAGGAAGGACATGTTAACTCTCAAATTCCCTAGTGCAATCTGATGATGTATCTCCGATCTTGCTCTAAACAAATATGTATCAGTATTTGAGTCCCATTATTTGTCTAAAGGTAATTTTATAGAAAACATAATTATATTAAGCAAATGCCTCTGTATCAGAGTTTTGAGGTTTGGGTTTTTTTTCCAACAAATAAGACGGCCTTAAATTTTGTGATAATAATATGTAACACCTTTGAAGAAACAATCTGCTTTAGGAACTGACAGGCATTTCCTCTTGGTGTAAGTTTTGTTTTCCTATCAAGATGCTCTGTGATCAATGCTCTGAGGACATCATATCATTAGTATGACAATAGCCTTTGCAGAACAGTAATAGTTTTCATCAATATACTGTCAGCATCAGACAAATGAAAGGACACTCCTACAGTGTCTACAAATTATAAAAGCTTATACGCAGCATAAATCCTGATATAAAACTGTTTTTCATTCTGAGCTCAGAGAAAAAGAAAGTTAGATGCATATGGAAGATTATCTAATGAATCTTATACATATTATCAGCTACATTTCTATTTAGCTAAAAGCTCTTGCTATCCATGAGGAAAAGAGTGATTGCTCAATCAAAGGAACTGCAAACAAATTTGCTGGTGAATTATTTGGCTCAGAAATTAATACTTTCCTTAAAATGCCTAGCATTCATCTGTTCTTCCTCTTTTTGTGTTTGGGAAAAAAGCCAGAGGCTGATTCTGATGGAAACTGAAATGCTTTATTTATTCACATAACACTTGCTGCACACAGCAGGAACATAGACTTCTCCTTCCGTGCCAATATCTCTCAGTCACAGAGAGACCACCTGCATAGTATGTCTACATATGTTAATAAGAAAATACCATATCAAAAAGGTTTTTTAGCTTCACAAATAAAAAGGAAGCAAAGAGAGAAGAAATGGGGTTAGGGTAGATTTAAGGATAATTCAGGAAAAAAATCCTAAATTATTAATTTATTACAAACTGAGGGAAAGATGATGATAGATGAACGGATAGAGAAAAGATGGATGAGAGATCAAGGTGATAGTTTGGAGATTATTGTGTTTAAGTATAAGAAAAACTCGTAACCACATAAAGGGAATAGATGTTGTCCATCCAAGGACTCTGAAAAAATTGGCACATGAGCTTAGTGTCTCTGTAGAAAAGATTTTTCATCTGTCTAATAACATGGAGAAAAAGAGATGAGCATTAACATCTTGGAGTCAATAAGCATGCTGGCTTAACATCAATAGCAACAACGATTTTAGCAGGAATTATTAAGAAAGAATAATCAAGATGTAACAGCAAACAGACATGAGAGAAAATTCAACATGATTTAACTAAAATACACTGAATGAGACTAAATTGTTGTAATATTTAATAAGAGGAAACATTTTCTAGAGAAAATGAATTCAGATTTGATCTTCCATGGGTTTCAAGAATGATTTTCATGCTGAAATTCACATGACTGGTTAAACAGGTTTAATACAGAAATTTAAGATAGTTAAGAAACTGGTTGAACAGAAGAGAAAAAAAATTTTTTTTGAAAGAAAAATGGCTCTTTGTACTATTATCTTATTTTTCATAATGACCAGGATACAAAAAGAAGGATGCTAGAAATTTGATGAAATAAACAGTTCATTGACAGAGCAAGATCTGCATATCAAACAGGAGGGCTTTGATGACTCTGAGCACCAGACTCATATAAAAGTAGTGAATGTGGCTCTGAACTAACTGTACCATGCAGCAAAGGCAAATGCAACCCTAGAATATATCAGATAACAACCTACAGCTCATTATGGAAGTGTTAATACATAAGATGCTGAGGAAAATAATATGGAATATAGGACAATTTTGATCATCAGTATTCAGGAAGATTAATTCTAATCAAACTGGCACTCAGGAGAATCATCAGGATGACCAAGGAGGAAAGAAAACCTTTTGTTCTAGAGGCTGTTCATAAAATGAAAGCTAAGGTGTCTGCAGGTGAGATGAGTTTCTATTTTACATGTTAATTCATGGATCTTGTCAGTAATCAGTGAAACATCTATTAACAATAAAAAAGTTTAGATATGTAATTCACTTTGTAGATATCTACACTCAGATATCTCAACTTGGAACTGAGTCTCACCCTCAAAAACTTGATTTAGTTCCCCAGACGTAACTACCATCATTTGAGGGACAAAATCCAAGCTGCTGTTTGCACCAAGAGCGTGACTTGGAAATTAATTTCTCCATTGTCCCCACTTGCTGTGGCTTTGGTTTGTAAAATGAAGCAGTCTGAGCACATGAACTTCAGCTGATACTAAACTGGGAGGGATGCTTGAGGAGTGCATTGCTTTTCAGCTACAAATATGCACCCAGTCTGTGGAATGGGACTAGAACTATTTCAAAGAGAAACTCAGAATTAAGCAGTGTGGACAGTGTCAACTTTTTGCTGCTTCTATTGATCCATACTACCTGCTCACATAGAAATAGCCATAAGGTATCCAAGACACCTGCACAGGGCCGACAAATGTGACACAAGACCTATGAGAGGACTTAACTGCTTACAGCACAGACACAGAAGTTTACAGCAGGTGTAAGTGTGTCTTTTTGGAGTCTAGATGTGAGCCAGGATGACACTGTAGGACTCTCAAAGGGCAGCAGGAGTTTGTGTGGGGGTAGATGACTCAGGCCCATAGAATAATGTTAGAGGCAGTCTAAAGACTTAAGGGATATAAGGTCTGCTAATGATGGTGGTGGTGAGCACCAAGTGTGATGTTGAGCTTTGAACTTAAACACCAGCTGTCTCAGAAATCAATTGCACTGCATACTGTATGCCCATGAAGCTAAAAAACCCCAACAAATTAATGATGAAAAGAGCTAAATTGAAATAAAATTTGAATTTCAAAGTGTATCTGATATCTGTGCATATTATATTTTTCTACTATGATTTTATCTGAAATAGTGCAGTTGTTAGATGCCCAGCTTGCAATGCCTGTGGTTTTCTTGTCTAGAATATCAGCAAGTTTGGAAATACATATTAGTAGCATTTCTATAATGTCAGTTTTGCTAATGACAGCATAACCTGGTAAACTAGGTTGAGAATTGTTACAAAACCATAGAAGCATGAATGAGAGTGTAAATTTTCTTCTTTATGGCTTCAGGATTGGACTTAGATTGACATTGGAAGGCTGCAAAATACTCAGTAATTATAGTTTTCAGACAATATTTCCAAGTGATTATTTTCACTGTAAAAATATTTGCAATCTATTCAAAGC